TACCACTGCTCCGACCTCCCCGAGGATGCATTGGGCCCAGCGGGAATCGTCGGTGGGACATCCCAGTGTGAAACCGCCTCCGTGAAAGTTGACCACTACGGGTAATCGGCGACCCTCTCTGCGATTCTTGTGGTAGTCAGGCGGACAATAGAAATGTAGACGGATCTGTGAGTTGCCGGAAGGAACGGATCGGACGAACGCTGGACGGGGAGGACGGGGAGCCGGTAAGTCGTGAAAGAACATTCCTATTCGCATCAGGAACCGCCAAAAGACGGCCTGCATATAGAGCCACCATCGAGGAGGAGGGGCATGAGAAGCCATGGACGTCGATCTAGCAGAACGATGATCGCCACGAGTCTAGATGCATACGCGGGAAGCAAAAGGTCCGGCAGGGACTTGGCCCTAAGGGAGCGATTACCTAAGTCAGTGCCCTGAGGGTCCGAAATCCAATAATAAAGGGGGAAATGTGAAACGTTGAAATCGGAATATGGATGGAGTGAACCGAGGGATCATGAAAGTTGGGAATGAAGGAAGAAGTCGGTATGTTGTTCAGAGTGGACAAGATACGCCAGCCAAGAAATCCAGAGTGTGTCAGATGATGAGGAGAGTAAAGTAAGTACCTTACGGAGTAGATACATTATTTTAGTATGGATGTGACAAATGAAAAATGGGCTTGCACAAGGTTCATTTCTTGCGGTATGGATGATATCAGAACAATGCCTAGTTTGCTTCCTAGTGTGTCTTAAAAATAGTTTGTCAATTATTTGAAGTCTTTACTGCTCGGAAGATCTCGCACTTTGATGCCGATGTACCTCTCGTAGCACTAGTAGCAGTTATCACGGATGTACTCTATATTCGTAGCAAGTACATTACATGTATGGTAGACTATGCTCAATTGCATTAGAAGAGGATACATACCTAACAATTGAGTGGCATGATATCTAAGGTATTTAGTAAATTGATAATAATTTAGTATCTTGATTATGGTAAAGTACCTCGTAAGGATACAGCTAGATGGGTCGATGGCAAAGTGCCTGGTTGTGCCCCTCCATCAAGGCTAACAGTTACTGTGCGTCACTTTACTCCGGGCGATGACATCACCACCAGCCTTTTTCTGGTCGGCTTCTCGGTCTTCTTGTTCTGAGATCTTCGTTTCTTGGTTGGACTCTGTATCAATTGCTTAGTGAGAAAGCTTCGTTTATGTCCCTACGTTCAGGGGATATTCACTGAAATACTTGTCCAGTACCACTTAAGATTTTATCAAGACTGTCGATCGCCCCTTCGTCAGGGAGTCATCATATTCTTCTGCTTCTACCCCCATGTCCATGCATCTAAGCACCTAATACATAAGTTATTAATCCTCCCTGAACCTAAACACTCCTGTGGCTGATTTACATTCACCTCGTGTTCCTTTCCATTCCGACTGCTTCCTAAGCCTAACCTTAGTAAGGGTCCTACGGCTTACTCTTATATTCCTACTCTCCCATCGTACTATTTCTTTTCCTTTTTCTCTTTTCTTTTTGGGTACGAGGTTTTTCTTCGGATCCTTCAGATTCTTTTCATTTCATAAACCAAATAACTGGTCTCGGATGATCTCTGGCCACCCGCCTAACCATACACCTCCATTGACAATCTAGGTGGTCTCTCATCCGTCACCATGTCCATCAAACGTGCTTTATCTAGAATCAAGCCCAAGGCCGATGACGAATCGGGCAAATCATCCATATCTAATGTGTCCCCCTCGCCGCGTCGCAGCATCTTCAGTAGCTTCTTACGCGATCGCGATTATGTTTCTTCCTCTGACGATGTCTCCGACGATTCTGGCCCGGGTACTCTGAGCAAAAACCAGCAGAAGCGCTTAGCCCGCGAACAGCGTCGAAAACAGCGCAGTCGACTCAGTGAGGACCAACAATCGGATGACTCCGAGCGGCGCCGCAAGGAAGAGATCGAACAGGCGTCTCGCGAAGAGACCGCCGAAATGAAGGCTCGCTACGGAGAGCTGCCATTGCTTCAGTCCACTAGTCGTCCGCGAGAACCTCGGATTCGTCTGGAGGATATATCTTCGAGTAATGTCGGCCAGGAGATCTTCTTCACAGCCCGCCTACACATTATACGCCGGATGAGCTCGAAGCTAGTCTTCCTCATCTTTCGTCAACGGCTCACTACCTTCCAAGGTGTCCTTCACGAGAAACCTGGGGCCAAATCCATTGCGATGATTCAGTGGGCTGAACATTTACGCCTAGGTTCCATCGTCCGCGTGCGTGGCATTGTTCAAGCGCCCCAGGTGCCAGTGCTGGGCTGCAGTATTCATGACGTCGAGCTCGATGTCGAACAGATTCACCTGGTCGTCCACCGCGAGGAACCGGTTCCCTTTAGCGTCTACGAGGCCGAAATTCGCACCGCAGAGGAAGACCGGGTAGAGGGCCGCCGCAGTCACTTACCGGACCGTACACGGCTTAACAACCGTATCTTGGACTTGCGCACTCCGACGTCGCAATCCATCTTCCGGCTGCAGTCTGCGCTTTGCAATATCTTCCGATCCTCCCTTGACGAGCAAGGGTTCATAGAGATCCATACCCCCAAGCTGCAAGGCAGTGCCACCGAGTCCGGTGCCAGTGTCTTCCAAGTCAACTATTTCGGTCGCGATGCTTTCTTGGCCCAGAGTCCTCAGCTCGCCAAGCAGATGGCTATCGCAGCCGACTTTGAGCGAGTGTACGAGATTGGCGCTGTGTTTCGGGCCGAGAACTCCAACACCCACCGCCATCTGACAGAGTACACAGGTCTCGACCTCGAGATGGCGATCGAGGAGCATTATCACGAGATGTTAGACGTTTTGGATGCAGTGATCAAGAACATGCTGAAGGGCGTCTATGGCCGCTACCGCCGCGAGATCGAGATCGTCAAGCATCAGTTCCCCTCGGAGGATGTTGTGTGGCTGGAAGAGACACCCATCATCCGATTCTCGGATGGTATCAAGATGCTCAACGACTCCGGATGGCGTGATGAGGATGGTAACCCACTGCCTGAAGACGAGGACTTGCATACCCGAGACGAGATACGGTTGGGTGAGCTTGTCAAGGAGAAGTACGGGACCGATTACTACATTCTTGACAAGTTTCCGGTCGGAGCTCGTCCGTTCTATGCAATGCCCGATCCCGAGGACCCTCGCGTCACCAACTCCTTTGATATCTTCATTCGAGGCCAGGAGATTGTCTCGGGCGGGCAGCGTATCCACGACCCGCATATGCTGGAGGAAAACATGCGCCGCTCGGGCATCAATCCTGACTTGATGGAGGATTATATGGAGGGTTTCCGCTGGGGCGCTCCTCCGCACGCTGGAGCCGGTGTTGGTCTGGAGCGGTTGCTGATGCTTCTTCTCAAATTGGGTAACATCCGTCTCGCGTCGCTCTTCCATCGGGACCCCAAGAGTTTCCCGCCTAAGCCCCCTGTTTTACTGCTTCGTCATCCCGAATCGTCCACCATTGAGCCACCGTGGCAACGGGAGGGACGCGGACCGCTTGCGAAGGACGAAAGCGAGTTGCAGCCATTGGAGCACCTGATCGCCAACTACGGAGATGCCACGTCCACCTCATGGGGCGACGAGCGTTTCAAGATTTGGCGAGACATGGCCACCGGCGCCGCCGTCTCATACGTCCCTAGCAGTAGCAACTATGCGGTGATTCCCGGTAACCCTCTCTGTGATCCCTCGCAGTACAACCGTATCATCACGCAGTTCCTGCAGTGGATGCGACGTGAGACCAAGTTCAAACCTATCTGGCTTCTTTGCTCTCCAGAAGTCGAGACTATTCTGGGCGAGAAGCTCGGATGGCGCAGCTTGTCTTGCATTGCTGAGGAGCGTGTGGATCCGTCCCGCAACCAGGCCGCGTCCGATGGCGAGATTGCACGAAAGATCAGGCGCGCGGAGAACGAGGGCATCAAGGTCGTTGAGATGAAGTACGGCGAGATGGTCCCCGACGACGCCCGGGAGAAGATTGATGCGCGCATCCGGGATTGGCTGGCGAACCGTAAGGGCACTCAGGTGCATCTGTCTGAGATCCATCCTTGGCGTGATTCGGAGCACCGCTGGTACTTCTACGCTGTCGACAAGTCTGGCACCATCTGTGCCTTTGTCGCCTTGGCTATGCTGTCTCCTCATTTCGGCATGCAGGTCAAGTATAGCTTCGACTTTCCAGGCTCTCCCAACGGGGTCATTGAGTACATCGTGACTCATGCCATTCAAACAGCTGCCCGGTCCGGCACCAAGTCGCTCACTTTTGGAGCCGGTGCTACTAGCACCCTGACGCCAGGTCATAACCTGCACGGAGCAAAGATCAAGATGCTCCAGCACACCTATGAGACTCTGGCCAAGCAGTTCCATCTTGTGCGCAAGAGTGAATTCAGGGCCAAGCTCGGGGCTCATGATGAACCTCTCTACATCGCATACCCACCGCATGGACTAGGTTCGAGAGGCATTCGGGCTGTTCTGCACTTCTTCGAAGACTAGAGTGGCGGATGTGCCAAGCCCGACCCGTTGGTGAAGCTCATGCCTAAATGCAGTCACGAGGAATGTTGTTACACGATTTGTGGATACGATGGATGCATTTATGACATTTTTCCAGCAGTAGACTTCTGGTTCGAGGGGTGACATTTCTGAAATGATCTAGAACCATTCCTGTGCCTAATAATTTTCATGATGCTTCAGGACCCATCTTTGTTGATGCCCTTTTATTCCCCCTGATGTCTGTGATTTATCATTTTCCTAAATGTTGTGCTCTGCCCAGTCATATACTTGTTCCATAATACAATCTACTACTGCAAAGTCATCAACTCCAACCAGTAATTCGAAATTTAATGCCGCATAGTCTTCTCACGTACCAATGGAGTAGCTGCAAAGCTGACCATATCAAGATTATCTTCCCTAGGCCTAGCATAAGAAATGCACAGTAGAATAGTATACAGAAATGATAACTGGAGACCTGCAGCTCAACGGAGCTCCCAACCTACCGCTTCTTCTTTTCGTCTCCATCAACGGTCGTACTACCACCAACCTCCTGCTCTATCATTCCCCCAAACGCCCCCATCACCCACCTTGCAAGCAAGACAGCCACCGTCCCCACAAGACACACGTACCCCGCCGTGGGCACCAGAGACCGCGGGAACACATTCCACAGGAATGGATCGAGGATCACATCCGCCAGCACAGGAGGCACATTCTCCATGAGCTCCTTGTCAAGCGAGAAGTAATCCGCTGCGGCGCGAATCCGCAGGAACAACACGGAGTCGGAGGTTGGTGCTGGGTCCCTGGACGAGGGCGGGGGTTGCCGTTTGCCGTTGCGGACGAGGGGGTTTGAGGTTGAGGTTGAGGAGTCGAGGGCTGCGAGGCGGGCTGAGGAGTAGACGCTGATTGCGGAGAGGAGGGATGGGTCTTCCATTGTGCTGGAGAGCGTGAATGTGTCCAGGGTGAAGGACGTGGGTTGCTTTGGTTGGTGTTAGCGTGTACCTCAAAGGGGAAGGATGGGGGCATACAGTTGCCAGATAGCATATCCGGACTTCGTAGCGTTGGCCTGGCGTCAGGTTTTCAAGGAAGTACCATGAGTCTGTTCCTGGGGAGTCTGGGGTAGGGAATGAGGCATTGAGGTAGGTTCGTAGGGTTGGATATGAGGGGGAGAGTCGCTCGAGGCCCAGATCGTCCAGGGTGGAATCTGTTGAGGGGATGGGTGATGGTTGTGGGGCGACGAAAATGGTTTTCTCGACGTTGGCAACGACGAGGGGCAAGAGAGAGAGAAGAACAAGGGGTTTAAGATTCTTCATGGTGAGTGTACTATTGGTTCACTCAGATGTATTGCTGGCTCTGAAAGTGGTTTATATGGCCATGTTGGGCTTGATATGAGTTAGAGTAGATCTGAGTAAATGTTAGCATATGGTGTCTGGATCAATGCAAATTCCTCCAGGGATACAATTAGAAGATCAGAATACAGCATAGAGCGCAAGGATGCCATATCTCGAATACATTCTATATCACATGCAGAGCTATTCAATGCCTGTGTTACATTGCCAGTTTTGGAACTTTCCGCAGCAAGTGGTAACATCGCATCAGGTAATTGGCTGGTACTACAGCAGTACTATCAAATTGCCAAACGAGATGGACTACATACCTTCTATCGAAGCGACCTTTGATGAAATGTATCGTATTGAGGCTGTTGGTTGGATATCAATCTTTAATACATATGGATGCCGTCACTCGTTCACGTGACTCTTATCAACGCTGAATAAGCATTGTTGATCCTCGTCACAGGACTGCGAGCGAGACTCGGGCATCTGGCGGTCACGGGCCTCAATCAGCCAATCACAACCGGCGGATCCCAACGCGACCCAACCGACGGATCAACAACGAACAAGAAACGCCAGCTTTGGGGGTGACAGCGCATTATTGAAGACCATCCCAAAAGAGTGTCCACAACAAATGGAACAGGTCTTGTCAGTCTTCGTCTGAATTGATCATTCTTAGACCTCGACTTTCTTCCCTCCCTTCATCTTCTCCAGATTTCTTCAATTACCTCTCGAACCCCAGGGTTAGTATTCCCCCTTTCTCCCCCCTCTTTGATGTTGTGTGCTGCCCTGCCCACCACATTTTACGTTTTGTGGTGTCCGTTTACTTACCCCTGAAACACCCATACAGCAGATCGTCTTGGGTTTTTTTCGTCCTTCATTCCTCCCTCCTCCACCCACCTTTCTTAATTTATCCTTTGTGAACGGAATTTAGTCAATCGAATTCGACAAAATGAGAGAAGTCATCAGTTTGAACGGTTTGTCTCCCTTCTATCGTCTTCGTTTGACGTGTTGTTTGTTTTCTGCGGTTCGTGTTACTAATGTTTTCTCCCTTGATACAGTCGGTCAGGCTGGTTGCCAGATCGCCAACTCTTGCTGGGAGGTATGCATTGACCATGAGTTCACCGACTGATGTTGCACACAAGGGAACGGAGGATGGAACATACATGGATGACTGGAAATTGGAGGGTCAGGCTGACTTTGGTGGTTTAATTCTAGCTTTACTGCTTGGAGCACGGCATTCAGGTACGTGGGACGACATCCTGATTTTCATCACAATTGGATGTTACCTCTTCATATCGACGCGTAGATCGACTGACATTTTGCTGTCTTCCAGCCCGATGGTTACTTGACCGAGGAGCGCAAGAAGGCCGACCCCGACCACGGATTCAGCACTTTCTTCTCCGAAACTGGTATGTTAGCTGTCGACTCCCTCTCCTACTTAGGACCTTAATGATCTGACAACGTCGTAAAGGCCAGGGCAAATATGTTCCCCGTACCATCTACTGTGATCTCGAGCCCAATGTGGTCGATGAGGTCCGCACTGGCACCTACCGTAGCCTTTTCCACCCCGAGAACATGATCACCGGCAAGGAGGACGCCTCTAACAACTATGCTCGTGGTCACTACACCGTTGGAAAGGAGATGATCGACCAGGTTCTCGACAAGGTCCGCCGGGTCGCGGACAACTGCGCTGGTCTCCAGGGTTTCCTGGTCTTCCACTCTTTTGGTGGTGGTACCGGTTCCGGTTTCGGTGCTCTGCTGATGGAGCGTCTCTCTGTGGACTATGGCAAGAAGTCGAAGCTGGAATTCTGCGTCTACCCTGCTCCTCAGAACGCCACCTCCGTTGTTGAGCCCTACAACTCCATCCTGACCACCCACACTACCCTGGAGCACTCCGACTGCAGCTTCATGGTCGACAACGAGGCCATCTACGACATTTGCCGCCGCAACCTCGGCATTGAGCGTCCCAGCTACGAGAACCTGAACCGCCTGATCGCTCAGGTTGTTTCTTCCATCACCGCCTCCCTGCGTTTCGATGGCTCCCTCAACGTCGATCTGAACGAGTTCCAGACCAACCTGGTCCCCTACCCCCGTATTCACTTCCCTCTGGTCGCCTACGCTCCCGTCGTCTCTGCTGCCAAGGCTTCCCACGAAGCCAACTCTGTCAACGAGATCACCTCTGCTTGCTTTGAGCCCAACAACCAGATGGTCAAGTGTGACCCCCGCAATGGCAAGTACATGGCCACCTGCCTGCTCTACCGTGGTGATGTTGTGCCCAAGGAGACTCACGCCGCTGTTGCTACCCTTAAGACCAAGCGCACTATCCAGTTCGTCGACTGGTGCCCTACTGGTTTCAAGATTGGTATCTGCTACCAGCCTCCTCAGCAGGTCCCCGGCGGAGACCTTGCCAAGCTCGACCGTGCTGTGTATGTCCCCTTTCCTGTTTTCTTTTTCTTACGAAGAAAGAACCGAAAAAAGAGAGTAAACTAACGGAAATGTAGCTGCATGCTGTCCAACACCACTGCCATCGCCGAGGCCTGGTCTGCTCTTGACCACAAGTTCGACCTCATGTACTCCAAGCGTGCCTTCGTTCACTGGTACGTTGGTGAGGGTATGGAGGAAGGTGAATTCTCCGAGGCTCGTGAGGATCTGGCTGCTCTTGAGCGCGATTATGAGGAGGTTGCCACCGACTCGTTGGAGGACGAAGTCGAGGCTGAGTACTAGATGGACGTCATCACTCGGCAGGATTCCGAAGAATGGCTGTAGAGTTTGGCCGTCCGATTTGATGCAGAGGCTGCTTCTGGTTGTTTCTGTGCTGTTGTATTGGGGACAGGCGTTTGCCAAGGTGATATACCATGGACCTGCGCGACTCAGGTTGCATGCAAATACATAGGAGAAGAAGATTGGCTTAGCTCACAGACCATGTTTTTCTTTGTCTGATATATTTTTAATATCCCGAAGCAGCGATGAAATTTTACCCGCTCGTTCATATAAACAGCACTTGGAAATACGAGATTGTAATTATCTTAAATTTAGGGAAAAAAGAATCCATTGGAGATTGGTTAAGAGCGATGATCAAGCAGGTTCAATTACACAGAGAGGAGGAGAGAGAGAGCGGGAACTAGAAGTGGACAGGAAGAGAAAACAAGCAGACAACAGTAAGTTGTCATATCAGTAGAAGACTTCCTTTTCCTCTGTTCAGGAATTATGTACAAAATGGTGGTGGATCTGGAGTGACAGACAGGGAGTAACTAGCTGTTCAGGGACCTCGAGCTATGGTTGGGTTACTCCCCCCGGAACCCGAAAGGAAGCTAAGGAGAAGGACATCATCCCTCCCTCCCTCTCCTCCACCCTCCAACTAGTTACCTTAGTCTCATCTCTCCTAAGTCTGAAGCTCCATTTCTTGGTTGCCTGCTTGTCCTCGAGACTATTATTCCCTCATCTCTTCCTACCTGTCCCTGAAACATCTTTCTCTTACTATAATCGAGCCGTCCGTATAAGTCCGCTTCCCCCCTCAATTTCGTCATCCCGTCTACTCCGTTTTCCCCATTCCCCTTTCAATTTGACGATCCATGCTCGTGGCATCATCTTCACTCTAGTCCACGGCATTCCGCTCCACCACCCCATACGCCACGATTCAACGAATATCCGCGAAAATTTGACCGAAGGAAGAGGAGGCGCACTCCTCCTGAGCTACCATCATGGCTGACAGTGGTAAGTCTCGCCCACCAGCAATGGTAGACCAGCCTGTCGTTAGGCGAACTCCTCAGGAGAGCAATCGAACACCCCCCGATCGAACTGCAACTTCTCCAAGCGCGACGGAACTGACGGAATTCCTCGATTGTTTAGCAGCACAACGCCATCCAAATCTCAATTTGACGCCTGAGGAGAAACGGGTGTTTTACCAGCTCTTTCAGGCCGCTGATACCACCAACCTCGGCGTCATCACCGGCGAGATTGCCGTTCCTTTTTTCGAGAAAACCAAGCTTGCACCGGAGACACTCGGATTGGTAAGTTGTGTTCCATGGATTGAGTCTTCTCGCGCATGTCTTGCTGACTGGTCACCGACGATGTGTAGATATGGCAGATCGCGGATAGGGAGAACAGGGGGCTCTTGACTCCGTCTGGCTTTGGTGTCGTATTACGTCTTATCGGACACGCTCAGGCTGGTCGCGCACCTACAGAAGAGCTGGCCCTGCAACGTGAGTGTATCCTGAGAATCATTTGGCTACGGATGCAAAAAGGGGAAATAGCGCTGATGTCGAATTCTTTCTGTAGCTGGGCCGCTACCTAGGTTTGAGGGCGTCGTTGTTGAGCCTACATCTCCCACCCCTCGCGACGCTGGTGCGACTAGCCCACCGCCAGCTGGTGGACCAATTCGAGTCCCTCCGCTCAACCCGGAAGATGTCAATAAATTCACAGCGCTATTTGAGAAGTCTGATGTGTCGAGGAGCGGGGTTATATCAGGCATGCATCCTGCATCTCAAAACGGAGAGATATATAGCTCTGAGGCTAATATTGCTTGCATTACAGGCGACATCGCCAAGCAGATATTTGAACGCGCACGGTTACCGAACGAGATCCTTGGCCGCATTTGGAACCTAGCAGACACAAAGCAACGAGGCGCCCTCGACGCCACAGAATTTATCATCGCTATGCACCTTTTGACCTCCTACAAGGCAGGCGCCATGAGGGGTATCCCTCAGACCTTACCTCCTGGCTTGTATGAGGCGGCAGCTCGAAGGGGCCCGGTGCGGACCTCCGTGGGGGCCCGACCTGGTCTCGACGTCCCCCCGGTGCCTGCCATTCCGCGACAATTCACCGGACCTCAGCGAACTCAAAGCCCTTTGAATAGGTCCCAGTTTGGAACACCGCTTACTGCCCAGTCAACGGGCGGAGATTGGCTTATCACGCCCGCAGAGAAGGCGCAGTTCGATACCATATTTGGGACGATCGATACTGCGAAGTTGGGCGTCATC